GATTCGTGTCACTGTAAACTGACTTCTCAAGTTCTTCGTGAGATTCTCTATTATCTTGTCACTGTCTTTTCATCCAGAGTATCTCAGGAAGCCCTGCCATCTGAAGCTGGATGATTTGATGCAAGTCACAAAGGACCCATTGCCACAGCAACACCTAAGTGAGCACTTTTGTGGTGCTTGTAGAGACTGCTATGTGAGCCACTCAGAAAGTCCATTGAACTCACACATCTCCCATGCTCTGCTCCAGAAAATTACCATGATTGGAAAATCGTACTGAAGCCTTCCTGATGTCTGTGTCTTTGCTGAAAGTACTTACACAGAAAATCATGAAATCCATCAGAATGTCCTTGCCAGCCTCAGCCTACCATTTAAGGATGACTCCTGACCAACATCTAGGAATTGTGCTCCCTTTCAGACTTGGGGATTGAATTTGAAGCCTACCCAACAAACATCCTCTATTATCAAATCTGAAACTTAGTTCAAACAGTCCTTTAACAAGGGAAAGCTGAAATCCATGAACTAGCATTCCTAAACTGTGCAATAGGAAACCTGGTTTATTCGGAACAACATATTAAGGGATTGACAAAGATGGCCTTAACATGATCTCAGATTAACTAAAGTTGAGATTTTTTCCAAATGTTAATCCTTTTTTTCTTAGATCATTTACTCCAGAAAACTTTCTATTTGAAATTATTTCTCTGCCTCTATGAGATATAAATCTTTTCCTAGTTCTTGCCAATTTTAGAACCCCAGGAATATCTTTCTCAAGGACTTGAAAGTCATATCTTTGAAATACAATCCTTAAGGAAGATAGTGTCTGCCAGGCTCATAGGAAGGTAAGTATCTAACTTTGATATGCTCACGGCCAACACAGATGGCTTAAACATATCAGCTAACATCTTCTCTAACATCATTCAGTGCTTTTCCACTAACTCATCTCAGAATTTAGGAATACTTCCTTCTTTATGTTTCAGCAGAAGTGAATTCAATCTCCCTACTCTATTACAGAAGTCATGCAGGAGATTTTTCTTTCCCGAGTTGTACAGTTTCTTGACAACAATGAACACACACAAAGAAAAGGCTTTTGGTGTTCATGACTTTAACAGTCACTCACAACAATTGTGTTCTTTGATACTATTCAGTGTGGGATTGAAATTATAGGTATTTGTGTGTCTTACATGTTAAACTAGAGCTAGCAGTACAACACATTGTGCTTAGTTGTAACTCACAGAATAAAACTCATTATTGAGGAAATATAGAAAAACATATTTCCAAAACAGACCAGTCTTTTAGTCTATTGTTTATATCAGCTTTAATCCCATGTCAGAATGCCTTTATTTTTTAAATGCCCAGCCCTGGATACTAATTCCAGCTTTCTGCTGATGCAGATGCTTGGAGAATTTGGGTTCCTGTCACTAATACAGGAGACATGATCTGAGTTCCTAGTCTGGCTTAAATCAGCAATTGTGGACATTCAGGGAGTGAGGCAGTGGATAGAAACCTTCTCTACCTCTTCTGCTCTATCTTTCAAGTAAAAAGAAAACATAACTTGTGGTCATTAAGTACAACAATTAAATAGTACTTGGGACACCCGCATCCAGTATCAGAGTGCCTGGTGCTGCTTCTGGCATTGTGCTAATATGCACATTTGGAAGTAGCAGGTGACTGATCAAAGGAATTAGGTCCCTGTGACCTACATAAGAGACCCAGACTGAGCTCTGGGATTTTGGTTTTAGCTGTGGTTGTTGCAGCCATTTGGGGAGTAAGCCAGTCTGTTTTTCTGTAGGTCACTCCTTTAAAAAAACAAAACAAAGCAAAAACTAAAAGTAAATATAATTGAAAAAGAAGCAAAATTCTCTCCCTGTCATCATTATAAAAGTAAACTTTAAAATAAAGTATGCATCCCACCATAACTCATCATATTATAATAAAAAGTTTGGAAAGTAGTAGTTAGCAGTTTTGTGTCAGATAAATAGTATACCTCTAGCTCATTAGTGAAAGTACTCATTAAAGATTAAAAACATAAGATCCTTTATAGACATTCTAAACTGGTCCCTGGATCTTAGCATTCAATTATCATTTGTGAGATCTGAAATCAACATTGTTTATGTCGAAATTGAGAGTATATTTGAAAATCAAAATTCAAAGGCATGCCTTGTAGTGAGCTGACTGATAGGAAGGGGCTGTGATTACGCCTCATTTTCACCCTCTACATCATGATCTCATTGATTATGTTTCTCAGCTTGCTAAGGCTTCTGTGAGGTGACTTTCAAGATGAATATTGCTATTTGCAGGATTTCCTGAACAGGAATATTTCAGGAGTAAATTGCATAAACCCAAGCGAAGTGCAGTCAATTTTCATTTCAGCATAAACAATGTATTAGAACAGAGCCCTTTAGGCTTTCTTTTTTAAATATTTTGCTTTTATTACACAGCTAGCTGAATTGTATCCAGGAGCATAAAGTGCCAAGCAGGCAAAACTGAGGCTCACAGAGACTATGGCATGCTTTACCAGGTGTTTAGTGTTTGATAAGAGAAAGGAAATGAACCAGATGCCAAATCCACTGGCCCTTGGTTTCAGAGTAGCCATGGCCATCATGACAGATCGAGTTTATTTAGATTTAGGAAATGCTATCAGAGACCTAACTACTTGTACATCTACTTTCTTTGCATTAACTCATACAAAGGGGCTGTGCGTGTGTGTGTGTGTGTGTGTGTGTGTGTGTGTGATTACAAAAAAAACTTTTATTTAATTGGTTGTATTTACTTGGAGGCAGGGAAATATAAATAATGAGAGAGAGCATCTATCTGCTGGGTCACTCTCAAATGCCCACAACAATGAAGCTTGGACCAGGTGACAGATAGCAGTGAGGAACTCCACCTGGATCTGCCCTGATGGTGCAGTGGTGGCAGGGACTCAAATAATTCAGCAATTATCTGCTTCCTGGAAGGACACAACTGGCCAAAAACTGGCATCAGGAGAAGAGCTAGAATTCCAACTCAGGCACGGCCACATGAATCCCAGGCATTCCAAATGACAAGTTTACCACAGCTCCCAACATCTGTTCCCTAGTATATGTAAAGGAGGTTTCTTCCTCAATGCTAAAATAAACGCATGTATCTTCCAAACCACCTAAAAATTTAGCTGTGGTTTGCAGAAGTTTAAAGCTAAGCATAGCAAAATGCATTTTTCCAGTTTTGTTTACTTGAAAAAAGTTTAATTTCTTTAGGCAGAGTGACAACAGACTACAAATACAAAAAAAAACCCATGCCTTAAAGCATAGGACCTTTGTGTAATCTTAATAATTCACTTATAATACTCTGATGAGAAATCAAAGTTAGACAAATACATCAACCACTAGTTATTATGTTATTTACACAGATCACCATTTCCTGATTGCAAAAGTGTGAGGATTATTTGGAGAAATTCAATAGGTATAAGCATATTCAGCATTGTCTTGGGAACAATTACAAGCAGAAGAAAAGGACTAAAAGAATATTCTTCAAATCTGCACTCTGGTGATGAACAAGAAGATACACAGAAGAATAGGCTACAGTGCCGAGCCCACAAATTGAGCACTTTGAAAGAATACAAGATCCAAGATCACTGAAGACGGGGTCAGGCTAGTTTGTATCGGACCAAATAACAGTATTGCCTTGTCGTGACTGTTTACTGAGTACTGAAATATTCAGTTCCTCTAAACTGTTAATACTAAACTAAACTGGAAGAATGCATTTAAAGAAGAGATAAAATTATGGACAAGTGCCATGGAATGGTAGGGGTGTGAGGATCCCTCATTGTTTGGTATGGCTAGTAAATAAGGGAAGTTATTGATAGAGTAAGAGGATAGGAAAGTTAACTTCAGGGGAAGAGCACTTTATAACGATATCTAAAGAGCCTGGGCATTATTTTCAAGGCAACTAATCTGCCAGAAAATTTTAAATAAGCAATGGCCAAATATTAGGACACTTCAAAACGTCCAGGGAAAAGCTAAAGAAGGGCATTTGGCCTAGCGGTGAAGACTCGGGCTGAGACGTCTGCATCTCCCCATGGGATTATGTTGGCTTTGAGTGACTCTAGCTGTTTTCTCCAGTTTCCTGTTAGTGTGGATCCCGGGAAGCAGCACTAAAGACTCAAGTAATTAGTTCCTCATCACTCATGTTAGACACCCAGATTGGCGTCAACATCCTGGCTGGGCACTGCAGGTCTTAAGGAAGTGAGCCAGTACACAGGACCACTATCTTTCTGTCTATAAATCACAAATGCAAAAACTACCATTCATTTTGGTGAAAAGAATGCGTAAAATGCACACAGTTTTCTTCTTAATATGTGCTATCCACAGAAGTCTTGCTCCTATTCATTAAGTACAATTAAAACAGGTATGGAAATTGGAAGACATACACACTCTCAGGATTTAAATTTAATGAAGATATTAGTTCTAGTAAATTCTGGAAGAAAAAAAAAACCAGAAAACTAGTCAAAATGTCATAATTGTTACCACTATAAAGAGAAAGATGATGCTCACAATGATTACTTACCCAACCAAGCTAAAACCAGGTTCCTGAATCTCCTCCTGCCATTATAAAATCCTATTTTAATAAAGTTTTAACTCCCCACCTTTCACCTCTGATTGCCCTGCAATTTGATCAGGGTATTCATACTCTATCACAAGCCAGGTGATATCTAATTACCCCAATTTGTCTCGAGTAAGAAATCCTGTTAGCTTGGCTTAGCCAGACAGCCCTTACCTTTGATGTTTCCACTTAATTTTTGCATCCACTGGCCCCTGCACTGATCTTTGGCTAGAAATTCCCATGATGTATTTGGATATGAGCTAACCCCTTCCCAACACCGATTGCCTCTTAGTGGCCCTAGATATGGTCTATCTTACCATGCATTAATGAGCAGTTTTTTTTCTTTAATGATAATAATTGAAAAACTTATTTTAGTGATATACCCATTCTTTTAGAAAACAACTTTTAAAGCAAAAGGTCCTGACCTTGATATCAAATGTTCCTACTTGACTTGATTGGTTACAAATTTCCAATTGATTCCTGATCGGCACCAGCCACAGAAGCAGCTGCTTTAATTGCTCTTCCAGCTGTCCAAGGTCTTTCACGTGAGCCTCAATCTCCCTTTGCTTCTCAGGCAAAACTCTAGAAACCTGGAAAGGAAACATTAAAAGAAAACATTAAAATGTAAAAGAGAATTTTAAAAGACATATTACTTGGTGATACAAAAAAAGGGAAAACAAGTTATTTATCTTTAAATGTTTTACAAATATACTGATTTTAGCATTTTCAGAGTATGATATTAATGATGTGTGCTGTGCATTACAATTCAGTTTTAATAAATGTTGGAAATCATCCATTAAAACCATCTGATAATTGTTGACTTTAAAGACATTAGTACCAAAGCTGGTCAGGGTTGGGGGCACAGTGGCTCAATAAGCTAATTCTCCACTGTAAGCACTGGCAGCCCACGTGGTTACCATTTTGTGTCCTGGATCTTCACTTCCCATCCAGCTCCTTACTTGTGGCCTGGGAAAGCAGTAGAGGATGGGCCAAAGCCTTGGGATCCTGCACACACTAGGGAGACATGGAAGAGGCTCCTGGCTTCCTAATGGCTCAGCTCCAGCCATTGCAGGCATTTGGGGATTGAACCAGTGGCTAGAAGATCTTTCTCTCTATAAATTTGCCTTTCCAATAAAAATAAAAAATTTAAAAACATATCTTGTGAAATTCAAAAATACACTTATGCAAATGCATACCCAGCTCCAAGTGATAAAGTAAGTATACTCTTCACTTTTCCACTGACGTATTAAAAATAGTGCTGTGTTTTATATTATATGTCAGACACACTTCCTTTGTGGTTATAAAACTGAATAAGCCAAGTTACTCAGCATTAGTATCACATATGTAACACAAAACCTGTACATTTCAAATGAATGCTTTATACTCATGCAGCATCATGAAATTAAAAGGAAACCAAAGCATAATTTTTGTTTGTATAGCAATAATTTCTTTCACTGTACTTGCTTCCAGCTTTCTTTTATGTTAAGGAAACTTGTACAAGAAAATCTTCCTTTTCTGTAGAAGGAAATTTGGTGAGCCAAGCATTTTTGTAAGCTATAGTTTACAAGCCATAGTGTAACCAAGTAAAACAGAAGATGATTGGGAGGAAAAGAAAAAAAAAAAAGAACATCTGGATTAGAGTAGAATATAACAGAGCAATTACAGATTTAAAAAAATTTTGAGGCAGAGAGATCCATCTTTTCTCTCTTGGTTTACTCTGACAATGCTTGCAACAGTCACACTGGACCAGGGCCAAAGCCAGGGACAAAGAATGCAATCCAGGTCTCCTACACGTATTGTGGGAATTCTATTTCCTGGGTGATCACAGATACCATCAGGATCAACACTTGCATGAAGTGGCAGGCAGGTGCTGGAGCTGAGCTTTGAACCACACACCCTGGTATGGGATGTGGACATCTTAAACTCCAGGCTAACGCTCTTTCCTAAAAGTTATCTTTTACTATGGGCTCAATATTTAGCAAGCATCATGCTTCCAAGTTTCATATTTATTGTCATCTTTAATCCATACAAGGATGCTACAATTATTATCATCCCAGTTTTGTACATGGTTGATGACAAGTTGGGACATATTAAATAGTTGGAAGAACAGTGTAATATGGTACTAAACATTGTAGTGTTTGGAGTTAGGCTACTGGATTTCATAATAGTAAAACATTGAGATGTGCTCAATTTAATCATAAAAGTCAGAAAATGAGGAAAGGAAACAATAAGGACAATCAGTAGGTAAGTAGTCTAAATCAAGAACAGACTGTTGCACAATCCTGAATGCACATTAGCACCCGGAGCGTAAAACCCCTGCTACATGACATCCTAGTCTGCACTGTTAAGTCCAACTGACCCAGACCTGCCTTTATCCTGTGGATCTGTATCTCAACTGGGGGAACTGTGGGTAGGAATACAGGCTTCACACCTTTGTAACGTGAATGGTGTAAAAGATGAATGGGAACTAAAGAAAATGGCTATTGCCTGAAGTTCTCTCTGCACGGACTTCATACTTGCATGAGTGGATGGGGAAACAAACACAGTGCTGTAGTAGCATAGAATAAATGGCCATGAATGATGCACCATGGTGCTGTATCTGTTTGCCTCACATGTATCCCCACAGAAAAGTAACATTCAATGAATTAAACCTACATGTGTTTTGTGAATTAGAACTCTTAACTATCTCTTTAGTATTGAACTTTGATGTGTGTGGGGTGGGGAAAAGGAGCAGAGAGAGAGAGACATAGGTAATAGCACAATTGCAATTCTATCTCTACAGTACATAATTTTATAACATCCTAAACTTGTTTTTTTTTCCCCTAGCACTTTAAAAGGAGGTAACTAAACATTTTGTTTTTATTGTACCATTTCGTACCCACAAGTACATGTAGAAAGCATTTTTTTCAGCTTTGGATAACAGCATCTAAGAGCCTCTAGATTATGAAGCTCCTGGAGATAATAGCCCTCATATTTCCCTAAAATATCTAAAATTGAGCTATGAACTCCTTTTTATCTGATCATGAAATAGTTTTCATTTCATTTAGGCATGCTATGTAAGCACAGCAATCTGCACAGCATTTAACTGAGGTTGTTGGTTTCCTTCTAATCCTCCCAAACTTTACATCCCTGGTTGTAGACATAAAACAAATCCCGACAGAAAACGGTGCAATGGATGGAATAATGACACCATGGCTTATAATGAGACTACATTTTCACCTATTTAAATTTTATTTCTGTTAACCTTCCTCACTGAGCTTGGTGCTGCATTTTTCTACATGATAGGCCTTCAATAATAACTACTAGATGGAATGCTGGAATTTTTTTCAATGATACAGGCAGGATATGCCCAGAGTAATGAACCACATAAAATGTAAATTGCATCTCTAAGTTAAACAGCCAAATTAGCAGACCAAAAATAATAAACTGGACCTTAAGAATAATAAACTTTTTCATGACAAAGGAAAAAATTAGGAACTGTCAAGAGTAAATCAACAAATTGCAAAAACAAAGTTGTGGCTCACATCTCAGAAAACAGAATAATTTTTCTAACATAGAAAATGAATTTGCTATAAATTAATAACAGAAATACAGGCAATGCAAAATAAAATTGGAAGAAAGATCAAGACAGTTGGTAGAAAACACAAAAGGATTTTAGGTACATGAAGAGAAATCTAATCTCTGTACTAATGGAAGAAAAGAAAATCAGAACCACATTATTGCAATGGTAAAAACGGAATAAAAAAATAAAAGCATGATACAGCCAAGGATGAGGAGAAATACAGATTCTTGTATGTAATAGTTGGAATATACAAGTGCTTCAAAAGTTCCTGGAAAATGAAATTATATGACATTTACTTGGGTAAAAAATATTTTTAAAATTCACAAATACAATGTTTCTTTTAAAAGTTCATGGAAAACATGAATATAACAAACCATATGTTGACTCAAGGACCAATATTGTGGCATAGTGGATTAAGCTGCCTGCTGCTGAGCTGGTATCAAATATAGACACAAGTTCCAGTCCCAGCCTCTCCACTCTTGCCATCCACATTCCTACTGCTGTGTCTGGGAAAGCAGTGGAAAACAGCCAGGACCTCTGCACTCAGATGGGCGACCCTTATTAAGCTCTTGTCTCCTGGCTTTGGCCTGGCTTAGCTCTGGCCCTTGCAGTCATTTAGGGAGTGAACCAGCAGATGAAAAATCTCTGTATCTCCACATTTGTAACTCTGCTTTAGGATAAATTAATATTTTCATTTTTAATCTTTGTTGATTGATCTTACTTGTAAGAAAGAGCGAAGGAAACAGAGAAAGCAATCTTTCATCCATTAATCTACTCCCTAAATGGCTTCAGCAGAGTTGGGCTAGACCAAAGCCAGGAACCTAGAGCTTCTTTGGGATCTTCCACATGGATGCAGGAGCCCAAGGGTTTGGACCATCCCAAGAACTTGGGCCTTCCTTCACTACTTTCCTAGGTCATAAGCAGGGAGCTGGTTCTGAAGTAGAATAGCCAGGATATGAACCCGCGTCCATGTAAGATGCTGGCACATGGAACACAGGCATAACTAAGCAGGCACAATGCTGGCCCCTTTATCTATTTACATAAAGGGAACAACTTTTATGTATTTTATAAATAGACTTTTGAGAGCATAACCCTTGAAATAATCATATATAAATTCAATACACCCCAACTTTAAATTGGAGCAGTTGGTATTTAATAGAAATTGCCAGGCCAGTTCTAAGATTTACATGGAAGTTCAACTGGCAAAGGATATCAAGATGATCTTGATGGATAGAAATGTTAAAGTGTGTTTGCAAACAGAGATCTATATTTGCTTTAATTATGTTTATGAGAACAGTCTGTAAACAATTACCTAATTTATGACAATGATAATGCATTTATAAAGTAGAGAGAGGGTAATCATTTTAATAAATAGAATCATGATAATTGAATATTCCTTTAAAAAGTAATCTTGATTCTAACTTGATGTTCCCCCTACACACACTTGATCAGTTCCAGAGTGTTGGCAGATCTCAAAGTAAAAGGCAAAACAAAGAAATTTCCAAAAGAAAATATAAAAAAAAATCTTAGTGATTTTAGGGCAAGTAATTATTTCTTAAACAAGACATAAGAAGCTCTAATAAATGTAAAATAGAGTATTGATTGGTTGAACTTCACTCATCAAGAAACATTATAAAGGGAAAAATAAGGCCTAGGGTAGAAGAAGACATTCTCAATGTATATATTCAATAAAGGACTTGCATCCAACAGATTCTTAACCCTAACCCTAAACTTCACCTCGGAATTCCTAAGAGAGATGATGAAGTTTTTCAATGTGCAAAAGATAAGCACAAGGATTTTATATTAGCATACAAAAATGGAACTAATTATTAGAGGATTACAAATTACAGCACTATTAGATACCAAGTTCGTATCTGTCAACTTGGCTAAAGCAAAAATACTAGAATACACGTACACCTCACGATGTGCAAGAAATGGATACACCATGGCATATTCACACAATGGAATTCTGTAGAGAACAGAGAGAAAATCAGCAGACATGTGACATGCAATGGCACTGAATAATCT